TTTATATATATTGTGTATACATATACACATTGTTACCATACATGACTGGAGCAAAATAAACACAGAATGGTTCAGTGAAGTACATCACACAAACTAATTACATTAATCAATTTTCTGACAGTATAAACAGGTAAAAATTTAACCAACGACACATTTTGGATTTCACAGATGTATTGATGAGGGCAGTGTCTGTGCACATGAGCTAAACAATCAAGCAATATGTAATGTATTGTCATTAAATTAGGTAAATTTAATTGTATTTTAAAATCTGTTTTCTATTAACAGAAGATTAAGGCCGCAGCAATTGGACTGGTGACTAACTTAGCTGTTCTAGCCATTTCATTCAGGTATGTAATGTTATCAATATGATATTGATGTAAATTATAACATTTTATTTCCCCTAGGGTGATCATTCACTGATTTTTATCTCCTAAGGCTTAATAGATTTAAAGAGTAACTAAACCCCAAATAAACTTTTTTAAGACAAAATTTTGAAATTGTGCCATAAATGGTGCCATCTTTATGTTTGTGCAAATTATGACATTTTCAAGTCTGTAATGTTTGTCAATGCATGACAAATTATGAAAAAAAAACCTGTGGTTGTATTCTTTTAAAATATATTTTCCTCAATTTTATACAGGACGACAATTGGAGCAGTGTTAGTCAGATCTGGAAGATTTTGGTGGTCCATGGTGCAGATGGAGAAGAACCTGTGAATTTGTTGTCCTTGAAGGAACGGTGATGTTACCTGGGTGTGAAATTGCAGCCAAAGCATGCACACTGCTTATGGGACTAATTTATGCCCTCAGTCTTGCATTTCCTCCACCTCTGGAAACTGGATAGGATTAAGATGTTCCCAAAAGTACAAGGACTAAAATTGAAGTTGCTTTAGTGTTATTGTAGTTGACTGTTTGACTGTTTGTTTTGTATCAGACAAAGCTAATGTTCATGTTTACTCTGTGAGAGCATAGCATCATGAAACCTTTTAGAATGTGTAAATGTAAAAAGTGTAGTTATGGAGTTTAAATGAAAATTCAACTCTGGAGAACTATGGCCTCACCTGGGGTCTCATTTATAAAGGATTGTGTGGAAACCATACTAAAAGTGAACGTACGGCCAAAAGGCGGAAATGGCGTAC